GACCTCTGTCGTGATGGAAGCACAATGGACATGTCCAGCGTGTGCCTTGTGGAGACCCACCTCCGCACAGACGGCATGTTTGCCACCCAAATAGTTCTCCTGAGTCCAAAATACCTGTTTTCCGGGCTGGTGCTGGCCAAAATACGAGAGGAAATGAGAGCCAGCAGCTACGTGCTCGCTACGCGCTTTGCAAGCTGGGAAAGAAAAGGAAAGGATTCTGAGAAAGGGTTTTAAAGCTATTGAGTGGAATTGGAGAGGATTAAGATACCTGAATTCTGTAAAAACATATTTAGGCATTTCCACCTTCCCAAACACCTCTGCTTTCCAAAGAAGCAGGTGCCTGGAAATACTTGAGTCATTCTTGTACCTCCTAGCAATTACACGGCCCTTGTTTGGCCTCCATCCGCTCTTCACACAAAACCCAGACGACGCCCTGCAGCAGCCATTTCAGTTTACGGCCTGATAAATCAAGACTGACGGTTTGCCCCCCAAAAATGCCTGAAAAATATATGTGGTGTTTAAGTCCACATACTACAAGCAGGCTCCTGCCCAAAGAGCTTACCCTTGCCCCGATGCAACCATACGCAGGCGACCTGCGTAGCTCTGCGGCAGCACCTCAGCTTTTGAAACTTACTTTATGAGAGAGGTACCTTAGAATGAACCAAGAGGTAATGATTGGTTAGGACAGGGAGGAGAGGTTCCAAGGTTGGGTGGGCTAAGTTTGATTTTACGATATGAAAAGGAAATTAGTTTTACACTTTTTGGGCTGAGGGTGTTACGGAAGGGAGATGTGATGTCTTATAATAGAAAACCTGTGGGTGAACATCATTGCCTAAGTCCAATATGTCGTTAAAATACTTAAAAATAAAAGTAATTTGGAATCATTGTTTAAACAAACCAGTTAAAGAGGTAAAGGGAAGCATGTAAACATGCACCATTCGAGAACAGGAGCTTTTATATTTTAAAACCACACAGATCAACCAATTTTTACAGCCTACTGACTGTGTTCACTGCAAGTCAAAGCTGCTCTTCAGGAAGCGCAGCTTAGGCGTGCAGCACAGTGCTGGGTTTGGGTTCTTTTGGCGGGTTTTCGTTTGCTTACGCAGCTGAAAATGAGAGCACTATGTCCAAATAACGACTGACCCAGTTCTCAAATGGTTTTGCGAGTGAAGTGCTGAAACTGGCACTAACAACATTGAGGCTGGAACGTGATTTGAAC